GAAAACGAGGCCCAGAGCGGAGGACCACGGGCCCGTCCAGGCTCTCGGAGGCCAGAGCTAGTGAGCTCTCCGAGGAGTCCGCCTGAAGGTGAGGCCCTTGGCCGGGACAGCAGGAGGACGACGGGCCAGTTACCAGGAGGGACCAGGAGGCTGGCAGCAGACAGCCCAGCTGCAGTGAGGAGCGAGGTCCTCCACAGAGAAATCTGGGATCCTAAGGGACACACTTGGCGGGAGAGATCCCCTGACTCCGAGAGACAATTACAGCTCCTGCCTCTCAGGAGCTCCGTGTGTTGTTCATTCATTCAACAAACCACCTCTGACAGTGAGCTCGGAGCCTGCGCAGGACGGGACCTGTGCTTGGGAGCCACGGGCCGACCAGAGCCCAGCCAGAGAAGTGGACTGGCACAGACACACCTCCTCATCCGCAGGGGTCGGTCCCAGGAGGCTGGAAAGTGTGGAGAGTGCCTGACGCCATGTGGATTGTTTCTTCTAAGGTTTACATCCCCAGGATAAAGTTTAACCTACAAATTGGGTAAAGTAAGAGATTAACAATGATATCTAATGATAAAGTAGATCAATTATAACAATGTGCTGTCATAAAGTTGCCAGTGTGTCTACTCTTGTGCTTGGGAGCATGATCGAGTTAAATAAGGGTTACGTGAGCACGGCACTGCAATACCATGAGGTAACCTAGTCACTGAGATGTTTACTAAGTGGCTGAAGAGAGGGTAGTGCATACAGTGTGGATACATTGGAAAAGGGATGATGTGCAGCCTCAGCAGGACAAAGCCGGGCAGTGAAATTTCAGAATGATGTGCATTTTGAAACCTGTTCATTTCTGGAATTTTCCACTTAATATTTTTAGACCATAGAAAGTGAGACGGAGGATAAGAAAGATCTCCAAAGGGCCAGGGCTCTACCAGATGGATCTAGTTGGTGATAAAAACAGTGGTGTGGCTGGGCACAGTGGTTCCTGCCTGTAATCCCAACAGCTTGGGAGGCTGAGGCAGGAGGACTGCAAGTTTGAGGCTAGCCTCAGCAACTTTCCAAGGCCCTAAGCAACTTAGCAAGACCCTATCTCAAAATTAAAAAATAAAAGGGGCTGGGGATGTGGCTCAGTGGTTAAGCAGCCCTGGTTGAATCCAAAACCAAACCAAACCAAAGGTGCCTAGCATGCATTGAGTGCCTACTATGTGCCAGCCACTGGAATAAGTACTTTAGATTAGCTAACTTGATGAAATTGGGACCCCCTCCTACTGTGTGACTTTAGGCAAATTACTAAACCCCAAGATTGTCTTGGAAAAATGGAAGATTTGATACGAACCTTGTTAGGTTACTGTGAGGTTTGAATGCTGTGGGTGCGTGTGGCGCCTGCATACAGTAGGTACTCCATAACAGCTGCTCTAAGGGAGGGATGCTGAAGGGGCCTCAGTCTTGTGCTTATCCAACCCAGTCAAGACCTGTGTCCCCTGTGTCCCCAGGTCTCTGCTGTCTGGAGGGCCATGAGCTGCCAGCTGCCCCTCAGGCCTCTGCCCGCCTGGCGCGTCCCTCCCAGGTCCCCGCGTGCCTCCCTGACACCCTGCACAGGTCCAGATCCCCAGCCTGCTCCACCCTAGCGCTTGGCTGGTGAGTCCACCCCCGCCACTGGGTGGCGCTGTGGAGCCAGGGGCGCGGCCACCGAGCCCCAGCCCATCTAAGGCCCCTGGTGGCCATGCGGCCAGTCTGACGCCTCCCCACCCCTGCTAAATTCAGCCAGTGACACTCAGGCCTGCGCCTCGGTGCCAGGTGCCGCTTGGCCACACTCCCAGGGCCCCCTTCACCCCCAGCCCCGGGGAGCTGGCGCCCCAGGACCCTGCGCTGTGACGAGGAGACCTAGGCAAAGGGGAGGTGCAGAGCGGGGCCCCGGGAGGCCAGCTGGGGGGCCTCGAGGACACTGTTCCCGCTGGGACGCCCCCTCCCCGCCCGCCCACCCTGGCCGCCCTGGGCCTCCTCCTGGCAGAGCCCTCCCTGAGCCGCCCCGTGACGCACGCCGTGTCGCCCCCTGGTTCTGGCGCGTCCCGGGTGTTTCCTGCTTCTCTTCATCTTACACCCAAGGCCCGGGCACAGCCCCGACACCCGGTCACGCCCGATCTCCTTACTGCCCGCACTGGTCCGCTTGGTGTGACTGTCACGAAATACCCAGCAGGCCACTTTGTGAAGAAAGGAGGTTTATTCTGGCTCCCAGGTGCAGATGTCCGAGGTGGAGCGGCCACGTCTGGCGATGGCCTTCTTGCTTACCCGTCCTGAGGGGGGACACGGCTGTCTGCATCATGGCTCTCCCTCCATGAAGCCACCAGGATTCAATCGCGGGGCTCTGCCGGACGACCTCATGTAATCCTGTCCCCTTCCAGGGCCCCTTGGACACCACGCTGGGTCTGCTCGCGCCCTCTTAATGCCCCACGAAGCCCAGGGGACCCCCAGCCTTATCTGAGTCACCTGAGCTCAGCAGGCACAGCCGACCTCCCAGAGGGTCCCCTGAGATCCTGGCCTCCGGGCACTGGGCAGAGCCTGTGGTGGCAGCAGGGGAGCGAGGCTGGTTGTGAGGGACTCCCAGGTCCCCGCTGGGGGAAGCCATGGGAGGTTCCCACGGCTGGGCACCGAGGCCTCTGCCAGCAGCTAGCCTGCGCCTTCTGTGGGCACGGGGTGGCCCTGCTGCAGCTCAGCCCTGGGCATGCCCTGGCACCGCCACGTCCAGAGCCGCAGGACTGCCGCAGAGGGCCAGCGCTGGCCACCATGGGACACTAAGCTGGACGGCGGCCTGCAGCTGTGCAGTGACAGTGACCCGACACTTGCTGATACGTCCTGGGAGCGCTGGGCAGGCGAGGCCAAGGCCACACACGCTGCCCACGGCACGCTCCCTTCCCCGAGTCCCGCTCCACACTGTCCCCGCTCAGGCCGAGTCAGCGGAGCCCCACGGCCGCCTCGGAGCTGCCATGGCACGTGCCCTTTCTACAGATGAGGAGGCCCCACGGTGAGGCCAGCCACTCGCGGACGTCACCCTGAGGGGACCCAGCTACTGTGGGCCACCGGCTCCCGTGGCTGCGCCTCACGGCCTGGGCGGCTCCCGGCCAGCTCTCTGGGCAGAAAGCGACTGGCCACAGCCTGGCCCCGGGCTCGCCCAGGCTGTCCTGGAGCTGCAGCGTCCTGGGTGCCAGGGCCACCAGAGCTGGCACCTCTGTCCCGCTGCCAAGAGCACTGCCCGTCCCCTGCTGTGGGTGTCAGACAGACGGAGGGCGGGACAGCTTCTGTGCGGTGGCTCCACAGGAACCAAGTGGCTGCAGGGTGCCAGCCGGGGCTCGGGGCTGGGCGCCAGCCATTGCTGAGCTCCCTGCAGGCCTGCGGGGGCTGGGCACCGGGGGAGGGCTGGGCAGGAGGACTGGGAGGCCCCAGGACCAGACAGCTGCAGGAGCAGGGCTGGGGGCAGCAGCGGAAAACCCCAATCCCTCTGACCCCGAAGACGGGCTCCTGGGAGCGTGGGCACTAGTGCCTATGCCCGGAGCAGGCCCCTGTGAGGGCTGTGAGGCCTGAGGGGCCCGGGTTCAGGCAGGCTTTCCCTGTCTCACTCACTGTGTGACCTCGGGAAAGTTCCTTACCCTCTCTGTGCCAATGCAAATTCATCTGAAAATACGGGGATGGTGGGGGATGGTGAAAGTGCCTCGGCTCCAAGGGTAAACAAGCCTGGCGACAAGCGCTCTGGGCACCGGATCTTAGCTTCGCGGTGGTCCTTTCCAACGACCTCACGCGGCCGTGTCCTTACTGCCTTGGACACAGGAGGAACCGAGTCTTCCGCTAGGGTGGGTCCTCCCCCGGCCGCACACAGCCACCGAGATCTGAGCCTTGACCACGCCCTGACCTCCGTGCCGCCTGCCGCTTGCCGCGGTGTTTTGGAGGCACAGCCTGACTCTCCTGCGAAGGCCAGAGGGGCTGTGGAGGCCGGGCGGGTGGCCACAGGCGCAGAGTCCGCGGGGGCCTCGAGGCTGTCCTGGGGTGCCCTCAGCGCGCCCAAGGCCCCGGATGTGAGGGTGCAGCGCCGTCCCGGGGGACACGAGGACCCAGGTCATTAGGGTCGTTTGGTGGTTTGGGAAACTGAGGCCCAGGGCCAGTCATGCTCAGCCGGGCGCGGGGACTCCAGGCCGGGCCTCGGTCCAGGTCGGCGCCCATCGAGGCCCTCGCTGCAGAGGAAGGAGGCGCTGGGGAGAGGCTGGAGAGGCCAGGGAGGCCGTGGGTGAAGATGGGAACTGAGGACCCGCGGCGAGGCCAGCGCAGGCCTGAGCCCAAGGCGGCCACCCAGGGGCCTGCGAGGCGGGGCAGGCGAAGGCGTCACACAGGTGAGCACCGGCCTAAGAGACTGGCCTCGGCTCCCTCAGGGGACAGAAGAACCAGTCAGGACCAAGGGAGGCAGGTGCTTCGAGGCTGATTTGGAGGCTGCAATGGAGAACGGGCAGCGCTGGGTGGGGAGGGGGCGGGTTGTAAAGTTGGAGGCTGCGGCCCAAGTGGAGGATAATTAACGGGGGCAGAGCCAGGGCTGGTGCAGGGCTCCCGCTCTCACCCAGCCCTGCCACTCCGCCCATCCAGCAGGTGATACAGCAAGACGTCCTACACCCTCGGGTGCGGGTGTGTTGAACCCTATTCTAGGTGCCCCCCATCTTCACCCACCAGCCTCTCCGGCCTCTCCGGCCTCTCCTGCCTCTCCCCAGCGGCTCCTTCCTCTGTGGCGAGGAAGATCATTAGGTTGACCATTAGGTGGAACAGCCACCCTGTGAGGTAAGGGCTGAGGGCTGGGAGCTGGTCATCTCTCTTTCCTTAGAAGAGGAAACCACCACCAGAGAGGTTAAATAACTTGCCTGAGGCCACACAGCATCGAATGGAGGTCTCATCTCTGACAGAGGCTGCTGGGCCAGGCAGCTGGGCTTGGTGGCCTTCTTCCTGAGGGTGGAGGACACCAGGCTCTCTTCTCCCCCTGGGTCATCTTGTCTGCCCTTCCTGTGGTGGCTCATCCCCCACCCCCACCCTGTGAAAGATGACTCACGCTGGGCCCTTGTCCAGGTCCTGGGTGGGTCGAAGGATGTAACTTGCCTGAGGTGCTGGGCTCAGAAACTGTGGGTGGGACAGGGGGACGTCTGCCCACTGAGGCCTGGATCCCAGGGTGGTGGTAGCTTGGGGACCTGGGGCCGGGGTTCGGGATGGGAGGAGGCTGAGAAGTGAGGAGTTTTGCTCGAGGGTCCTGCAGGATGGGAGGCCTTGGCCAGCCTCAGACCCCCAGGGCCACAGAGAGGAGAGGCCAGCCCCTCCCCGCCCTGCTCACCCCCTGGGTGCGCCCGGCTTCTGGCCCCGAAGGATGACTCAGCCTGAGCCCTGGAACCAACCTCGTCCCCTCTGCCACCTGTCCCTCTCTGGCAGCACCTGCCTCCTGGGACACAGTTATCGCCAACAGCAAGTGGCTATGCCAGGTCCCCAGTCCAAGGGCAGCCAGTGCGTCCTTGAGAGGCGGCCTGGACCTTCATGCCCTCCCTTTGGAGGCACTGCCCACCCCCTGGAGGGCCCTCCTGGAGACCCCC